TGTGTTGCGGTAATGGGTCTCAATGGCCTTTAAAAAAAACCGATGAAAAAGAAGAAGTACACATTATAATGTATTTTTGAGTTAAATGTTCAAAGCATTTATCATTTAATTTTAATAACAGATACCTATCAAATAGATAATATGTTTTGAAACTACCACATCTATAAAAGGCCAATATAAGTGTTTTGTGAAAACTACAGGTCTCTAAAATTATTTTTAACCAATTAACAAAAAATTCTTAAGTTTCCTAAGTTTCTTCCAGGTTTTTCGTAATTATTATGAAAACTATCCATTAATCCATTAATGAAATTTGTACTCACAAACTAGACAACATTTTCCTTCAAAATATATGTTATTCATAGAATTTAGACTTTTTTTTTTAGTTTTTTCCAATTATTATAAAAATTACTGTAGATATCATATATCTATATAAATTCCTGGTAGAAAAGTTGTTTATAGATAGATACAAAATCTAATAAAAAAAAAAAATACACATCATAGTAAAACTAACAGATTCTAAATTGGAATCTAAAATGAGAATTTGAGTAAAATGGGCTCGTATATTTTGTGATACCACAGCAGAAACATAATTGTAGCATGTGGGGAATTTTAACAGTGTATTAACTAGTAGTAAAAAAATACAATACAGGATTTTATTATTTTTAGCTAACTCATTTCACCTAGCTTATATTATTAGGGATACCGAAATGATTTAAGTGATGAGTTTTTGCCTTAATCTTACACACATAAGATATAGGGATTTAGATGTGTTTTAATTTCTATGTACCAATTTCTTATTCTTATAAGAATTTTAGAAACAAATCTGAATTTGTTGTGAAGTCTACTTGAGATTTACTTTCCCACTTTTAAAATTTAGCTCCTTAAATTCTAAAAAAAGCTGTACTAATAAAATAATAATTAAAAAAATTAGAATATTTTAATTTTTTCAGAAATTAAAATCAAAAATCAAAAAAGTGGGAAGTTGACCTCAAGTAGACTTCACAGTAAATTGAAATCCGCTTTCAGAATTTTAATTGTTTCACTAGATCAATTGGTATGTTGGAAATAAAACACATCTAAATAATACTATAAAACTGAAATTTTCACAGAATATTTATATTAGCCTGTTCAAAAATATTCATAACATTCGAGTGATTTTAAAGTTATTTAAAATA